AGAAACTTTCTGCTTCAGCTTAGGAACGCTTCTGAAAAACTCCTGTCAGCAAGTTTCTTAGAGTTTCTCTGATTGATGCTCTCCTCCCCCAGTTTGTGTGTGACCATGTCTGGGTAGTTGTGCCGTACTGTTTTTGATTTAAGACGTTCGATGAAATGCAGCTCTCTGAGATGTTCAAAGCTCGTGACACCGTTTTATAATAATATAACTTCTCTACAACTTGCTTAAATTAAATCATGAAAATGTATACAATTTCAAAGATTACTGGGGGCTACATACCCCTGTACTACTACATACGGGTAGTTGCGTAGCATTTGTGTTGTACCTCATCAATCTCAAGTTGTGATAGCAGTTGTCGTTTGAACATGTTGGAATATGTTTAGCAGTCATTGTAGACTGGGGATGTCGAACTAACGACATCCCTCATTCTTTGCATGTAACCCCTCTGACTAGGGTCACTTGAATAGTAGCATTCCAACAGATCCATGTTTTCACCTCTCGCCCATTTCCGTCTGGTTCCAGTAGCCCATTTGTCATCAAGGTGCTCTGGTTCCCCAGCACCTGACGCAGACCTTGTTTGGCTGGCCGACGTCTGAGCCAGCATGTTACGCATATCAATGTCTCTCATGGTAAGAGGTAGGATATATATAGCTCCAAGGGTCTTTCCTAAGGACCCACACTGGATAGCTCAATTTCACTGTTGTAACTTTTTGCCCCAGCCTGGATTCAATTCAATTGTTTGGTGAAAGAGGAAAATAAATCACCAAGAACAATCAATAAGTTTGGACATTGAACCTTCTTTTGACCCCAGTGCCTCAGTAGTGGCTTGGTGGAACTTTTATTGGATGTTTGGCTTGGCAAACAATCACAAGTGGTTCTGTCTAGTTTGGTTCTTCACCTGTTTATCAGCTTTATTGTACCTTTATTGTGGCACACTGCAGCCACTGCAATTCCTAAAAACAAGCAACAAAAACTGAGCTAATCCCCTCTGTTCGCAAAACGTGGTGATATTTATAACAGTCATCAAACTACGGCTCCTACAGCATATTTAAAATAAAACGATTGACCAATATAAATAAAAATTCGCCCCTTCTCGCATCTTGACAGAACTAACAGAAACTAAACTGTTTGTTTGTGTTTGTATCATGGAGAATTTATCAAACATCAGTTTTCTAATCTTTATTTTAAGTCGTATTTAATAGATATATCTAATAACAAATGATGGCGCTACTAATATTAATATGCTAATATTAATATACTAATATGAAGCTCACTTTGAAACAATGCAAGTTGAAAACAATATTTTGTGTATATATACTTGCGGCTGTCTGTTTACAGCAGACAGCCCCTCCCCTCTCTTGCAGGTACTGTGTACCTCCGCTAAATCCTTTAGGGGTACGCAGTACCTTACCGTACCCCCCTGTTGCACCCCTGGTTATATGATGTCCAAAACAATAAATCATATAGCCAAAAACTGGTTTTATGCACCAGTTTTGAGAACTCTATTATGAATACTATATTATACTATAATATGTAAGAAAAACTAAGAATCTTGCAAAAAAAAAAAAAAAATTGCAGGAAAATATGACATTCCCGATCCATTTAACAATAATAGTATTCAAATTAAAAATCTTTCCCTGCAGGTTTTTTTTGTTTTGTGGAAAAACTCCCTTCAACCTCAAACAGCATGTTTACTGGGGCTTTCCAGGGTCACACCAAAAACACTAAACAAAGACGGGCGAAACTGGTTTATCATAAAAATTCTCATCGCAACAATCTGAAAATGCCGCCGAGGTATCATCCTCCATTAACCTGCGGGGCTTTGGCACCAAACTGCAGGAAACAACAAAGCCTGATCAGAAAAGGCTCTGCTGTCAAACCAGTCCGTCTTGTGTTAAGCAACAGCGCCATTTCATGAACCAAAAATAATTCTGACGTGATTTATACTAGTTTCATTGTCTCAGCTTTCAAAGAACAACAATTATATATGTTGTAGTTCTAAAAAGATTTAAAATTAAAAGTGTTCCCACTGTTCTGTATTTGAACTCTTTACTTTTCATAACATCTCTACTATCTTGAATGTTTCTAACTTTATTGCAGTTGGATGCAATACCGTCTTTTTCAAGCCTGAATTTCTTTTGATTTCTGCAATATGAAAAAAAAAAATACACAAAATAGACTTCAATAGGAATGTAACAAAAACAAATTCAACTCATTTGGCGCAGTCTTGAGCAATTTGGACCAAACGTGTAGCTTAGCATCGATAACTTGAACCTCTAACTAAATGGAAATGAGCTGAAGGTCAATTTCCCACCTTAGAGATTAAAAAAAGTTCACTTTTAGAAAATTTGTTTTCCAACCTCTGGCTGCAGCAGACTGAAATTGTTTTTCAGAAAATTAACATAATCCAGTTCGCAGAGTGAGTGTCGTATGCAGAAAATAAATGCAATCAGACTTTGATCTATGATGATGCTTTTACAGGCTTGCTTTAAAAAGGAAGGTCTGCTGCTCGACTGTTGATAGTTCGAGGTCTTTTTATAATCATGCAGGTGATTTTGGCTGTTCCTAATAAAAAAAAGTGGCGCCATCTTTTGGACAAGATTGGGTATTACAGTCACACTTTTTCACATTTCAAATAATGACTTATAAAAGAGAAAATAGCTATACTTTCCCCTTTGTAATTGTGATTAATCAAAGTTTCTTGGAAAGTTAATTTCTGTTTCACTAACCACACCCAGGGCTGATTACTGTCAGACCAGTATCGATTAAACAGAACCTGTCTCATAACATGAAGTAGGCTGAAATATGACAAAAAGCAAAACAACGCTCCTCAGTGGAGAAAACATGGAACATTGACATCCCTGGAGTGGGTTGCTTATCAAATTTACGATATTGGTGAGTCATCCAGGAGCTCCCAGGACGAGAGCTACAGCACAGCAGGGCTCACTTGGCTCAGTTAAGGCCAAATTTCATGTCATGAACTGTTTTTTGGCTTTAGGGGATGGAAGATTTTGCCAAAAATGATGCAACCAACCATGAATTTTTCTGTCTAGCAGAAAATGCTGAGGGAAAATTCCCGGTCATCAGTTTGTCAAAATTGTCAAGATTTAGGGTTTAATGTGGCCTGGTCATACAATGGATTCCATTAAAAACGGTGAGGAACCACCTTCAACAGGTTGAATTAAAACTGTTCTGCAACGTAGAGTGGGCCAAAATACCTCCAGTGATGTAAAAGTATTAGTTTTTGTAAACGACTGATGGAAGCTGTTGGTCCCAAGGTGACACAAAGACTTACGATGTTGAGGTGGTAGCTACTTCTTTTTAATCGTAGGACCATTTATATAATCTTAAAGCAAATTCTTGGAATTACTCTGGCTACTTCTGACAAATAATAAAAATACTTTGATGATCTTAAACATTTAAAAGAGGGAAAAACCCAAAACAAGACAACCTTTAAGAGCACAATTACTTTTTGATAGCACTATGCCATCAGTAAAATATAAGCATAATGTTCCCCCATAACTGTGACATGACATTTGCATATACATCTGAATTACTTACTGGTAGTTTTGAGGAGTATCCGTAACGTCTGGTGATGAAAAGCCGATATACGTTTAATGGGACCTGCTGGATGAGGCTCACTGTGACATGCATGTATTTCATGAAGAGTTGCTCCTCTACCTTAAAGAGTGAACTTCATGAAGAATGTCTGCATCCTTCTACTCCACTAAGTCCATGGAGGCTTTTGCTGTTGTTGTTCTTTGGATGAAGATTGTAGCCGTCTGCCACAGGAAGGATGAGACGAGACGAGCTGTGTCCCACTGTGTCCCGTCATTTCAAGCCGTTTGTCCAGAAACCAGGAACTCTACAACCACTGAGCCCTGCAATGTTTACGTTAAACCTTCACTTTTAAAATGGTTTTTAACGCAGAGTGTGAGCTGCACTCTGCACTAAACATATGAAAATAAGTCCATGTATCTATTTAAGACATTTGAAAACACTTTAATAACAATTATGCCACCAGTTGCTTAAATGCAAATCCGTGAAGTGTTTGAGAAAACTGACTGTGAATTCAGTTCAGTGATGAAGATGATAACCAAAGTCCAGAAAACATTTTGAGTTAAAAATGTCAAAATTACTCCTTGGTTTTTAAAAATAAAATATCAAACATTACTTTAGATGGCTAAGATAAGCTTGCAATGACAGCATATTTATTGCACCCCTAAATCTAAGAAAAACTAGAGGTGCAACATGTTTAATAAGTGAATATAAACTAATAAGAGGTTTTTGAATAATCATGATTGATCACATTTTCCCACAATACCATATTTGTGAATAAGCATTTCTCGATTCAAATAAATGTTGGTGGGTGACTGAATTAATAAATAGACAATATGGTTTTACCTCGATTGAGAGTAGAGTAGAATGTTATGGCTTTGCTATCACGCTTCCAGATCCAGAGACGGTTCAGTTCAAAATGTCATAGGAGCTTTAAACTTTAAGAAATTCAATGGAAATGCGATTTTTAAATCCTCTCTTTCTTAACACCTCACCTCTCAGTCTAAATGATGCAAACAAAGTAAAAAATAGATTAACTTTCTAGATTGAAAGCATGTTGACACAAATTCAGCTGTTTGGTTTTTCCAGACCTTGTCAGGATGTCTCATTTGGCCACCAACGTGATCTGGCTCTAAATTTTAAATAAGCTTTGTGTTTGTGAAGTGTGCTTTCTTTAACTTATTTTTACTTCCTGGTTCATCCTGCTACCAGCCAAACACATTAGAGAGGATCCACTTGAGCTCACACAACTAATATTTACTCATTTAATATAGTGATTTAAAGTACTTCAGATGGGAGAGAGAGATAGATAGATAGATAGATAGATAGATAGATAGATAGATAGATAGATAGATAGATAGATAGATAGATAGATAGATAGATAGATAGATAGATTTTGTTCTGTATTGAACAGTTGGTAGCCAGAAGACACTGCGTTCGAATCCAATGGCATCACAACAACATTTTCATTGGGATAGCCAGAGAAAATTTTAGGGTGGTACAACTAAAGGGGAAAAAAAAAGATCATATACATAGATAAATATCAAATCCCGGCCTGAGTTCACATGTTCTCTCTGTGGATGCGTTGGTTCTCCTCCCACCAGCGGATCAATACTGAGCAGCTCGGAATATGAATGTCGTCTGTATTGTAAACAATAGCAGAGATATAAATACAGCTGATATCTATTGGATTGTCTTCATTTCTCAAGAACTCAAAAAGTACAAATGCTGTCAATAAGAAAAGTCGTAGCACCCACCTACACCCACTGCTGACGAATCATTAATAACATCCAACACCGAAGGAAGACAGTCACTGGGATGCAACTAATATTTCATTAAATATGCAAATTTATGATATTTTTTAAGAAAATACCTTCATGACATTATACATGGTTCAATATATGAACTATATATGTGGTACAAATGGATGTGCAGCTTCAGGAATATGAAAAAGGCACAGAAGAAGAAGAGAGATAACATGGGCGTAGTTGCTGTTTTTAGCGCTGACCCTGAACAGGTCTGAGTCGACGCTGAAGGAGCAAAGAGCTGAAGCACTGAGGCAGCAAGGCAGCACACAGTCACAGTTCAATACCCAGGAGGAAGCGAGCGATCCTAACCGAGGGCTGATGAAGCACGACTCAATCACAGCTCAGCTGAGAATTAAACTAATTCACAAGACGTTAAGCAGTGACAAAGATAAAGAAACTCATGATGATGTTTATGTCTCACAAAGGTTTACATCACATTTTCTCACCTTCAAACCACAAAATTCATTTTATTGGGATTTTATATGATGGATCAAAAAATATTGGTGAACTGGAAGAAAAAGTGTTCCTAGTTTTTCCAATTTAGAAATAAAAATGTAAATTTTCCAGCCCCTTTTAAAAAAATAAATGTGGAATGAGATGAGCCTTTTCTATAAATATGGAAGTAGTTTGAAGCTAGTTGCTTTAGAAACCCTTTTCCGGGTATTAAAAGCAGATTTTGCATATGAACTTATGGAAAAACTCACCATTTCATTATGAGTCCATAATCAAAAACATTTCTGTTTTGGTTTTGTGAGAGCCACATGTTTCTCTGGAGCCGCAGGTTTCAGATCATAGCATGTTAAACTGTTCCAGTCCAAACTTTAGACCGAGTAAATCCAGACATTCTCAAAGCTTAAAGAACAGGCAAAAACTCACAGAGCTGGTAGAGAGAAACCTAAAAGACTCGAAACCATAACTGCAGCAAAGTAAACCTACAAACCTCTGAGCCAGGAGCGATAAATCAGTTCCCTTCAACGACACTCTTTGTGTTGATATCACATAAAATCCCAACAAAACACACCGAAGTTTGCAGTTTTAATTTGACAGAATGTGGAAAAGTTCAAAGTGTTTTCCGAATACCTTTGCACAGACGCAGGAACCCAAACGGCTCCTTTCTGATTGGATCATTTTCCAGTGCTGTTGGCATAATTACTGAACAGCTAACCACTGGACCAGCAGACAATATTCATCACCAACTCTATAAACAAAAGTTGGGTTTTCGTGTTTCTAAACTTCTGCCTCTGTAACTAAACACAGATAATGCCTTGCTAAAGAGGGACTGTTGGGGTCCAACTGCTGGTGTCTACTAAAGGTTAATCTGATAAGGGCTTCTGACTAAAATTACATGGGAATTAATTAGGGAAATATAAAAAAAAAAAAGAAAAAACTTCAGTAAAACAGAAGAGATGAAGGAATCGGAGGGTTCCCTGTTGGAGCAGTTAAAGTCTGAGTGATTGTTGCGGGTTTAGTGATATGTGTGCATCTACTCCTGCTGGGGGGCCGGGGTCTCGTTGGCGTTGTTGTCGGTGATCTTGTTTTCCAGCTCGTCGTCTGACAGGAGGTCCAGGGAGGTTCCCTCCGCCTGCAGCGCACGTCGGCCAGAGCGGCTGGTGGAGAAGGTGATGGGGCCGCCGCGTCTGTGGGAGGAGCAGGAGGAGGCAGAAGGGTAAAAAAAGTTAGTATATTACCCTACTTGTTCTTTTTCGCTGTTTTTACTGGGGGAGAAAGTTAAGCCAGAAACTGGCTGTGGAGGTCAGAGTCAAGTAAGAGCTCCAAACTGTGTTTTTCAGAAATCAGCTCTCTCATTTGAGTTTAAATTTGTCTGTATGTCATATTTTCTATGAATCTAAACTGTATTAGATTTTAGATCAATCAATTGGTGTACGGAGAAAGAAGGAGCAACTTTTTCTGGTGACTTATTACTTTAGGTGAATCATTGACACATTGATGTATTGCTGCTGCTTCTGTTTTCTGTGTTTGTGGTTGATGCACCTTTGGGACTCGTGTCTCTTTAAATGTTAAATATCTCTGTGTTTCAAACTTCCTCTAAAACCAACAGGAACATAATTCTGTTTCACAGAGAAAACACCCCCAAAAACCCTCACAAGTAACGTTTGTGGAACACCGCCTTACGATCCCTCTTTGCTCTTTTCTTCTCCGACATCAAAAGTGAGGAAACAGGAAGTCTACCTCAGGGACACCACAGTCCACAGACTTTTTTAGAGACTTTACTCTAAAGTGTAATCTCTGTGACAGAATCATCAGTTGTAGTTTTATTCTTGAAAATCACAGCTTTTATTTTAGCTCTGTCCCACATTTAGCTGCATTATAAGGAGCTTTATTTCTAATCTAATAGCTACAAAATATAAAGAGAAAAATGGTTCCAGATAGTCTGACAGAGTTGGACGTTTTGAGAGATTACAGGATTTTTTCTCCATTGATGCATCGAGGCTTAACTCAAATAGCATCAAACAGGCTGTTGATGAATGAATTAGTAAGCAGATAACAGAGGGAGCTGTTACTTTAGATGCATTTGACAAATAGAAAAATACTTAATTCTAATTGATCATTCTGATTTTTCGGTATTTGACCTGCTAAATACCAATGAAAGCTGATAAAGAGAAAATTAACCAATTTTGATCCAAAATAAAACAGTGGAATGATCCTTTTAAATATTATCAGTCATTGTGTGTTTATCCACAATGACTGATAAACACATGATTGGTTGTCCAACTCATTAAACGATTAATGAGTTGGACAAGAACCTGGTGTGTGAAAACCAAAAGTTAGCAAAAAAAAGACTTGGCGTCGGCTTTTTGAAATTCAGATTATCATAGAATAATATCTAACTATTTTCCATTCTCAACTTTCTAATTTCCATACTTGTCCAGATCTTTCTAGACTGTGTAGGAGTCCTGGGAATATCAATTACATAACTCGGTTTTAGACTCCAAACTGTGGAAGTGCCAGGATAAAATCTAAAGTTTCTCTGTAAAAACTTTCCCTGGCTGCACATTTTGCACCAGCGCAGGCAGAAGCAGCTCTGAACATGAAGCTCTGCAGATATAAACAGATCCTGCACCTGAGTCGGTTCTTGAGGGTATGAACCTCGCGGCTGAGGCCCTCGCTGGCCTCTGTGGCATCGTCCAGCTCCCTCTGCAGCTTCCTGCGCGAGGCGTTGGCCCGGGTGGCCTCCTCCTCCGCCTCCTCCAGCTGCCGCTTCAGCTGCTTCATGCGGGAGTTGGCCTTCTCCAGCTTCGCTCAGGGAAGTAGAAGAACAAACGAGTGAGACGGCGACGGCCAGAAACCGTAATGAATCGCAATCGGCATCGCCGTCAGAGGCAGACATACTTGCTCTTTGAATTGATCGCCATGGCGACGTTCGTCCTCCACCTGCATGCAGACTTCTTTCAGCTTCTTCTCTGTCCTTCTGACGATCTTGTTGGCTGCCGCCCGCTCCCTTCAGGGAAGCACAGCCTCATTTTAGATCAGTGGTCAGTGAAAGGAAAGGAGGAGCTGTAACGGTCGCCCACCTGGCTTCCTGCTCCAGCTGCTCCTCCAGCTGTGCTATCTTGGCCTCCAGAGCGGTGATGGAGGCCTTGAACCTGTTTTTCACCGAACCCTCCAGCTCACTCAGTTTGGCACGCAGGTCCTTGTTCTGGCGCTCCAACTGCTGCCGGGCGTTTTCGCTCTTCTGCGCCGTGCTGCGCTCCGCGCTCAGCTCTGTGGTCAGGGTGTCCACCTGAAAGGGAGGAGGACGAGGACACAGAGCAAGAAAAAAGGAGGTAAGAAGCAGGGCATGCTGGGAAAATGAAGCGTTCTCACAGGTTTAATTGTCATGTAAGGAGTACCTGCATGTTTGTCTTCCTGAAGCGGTCGTTGAGCAGCTCCATGTTGCCCTGCTCCTCCTCCAGCTCCTCCTCCAGCTGGGCGATTCGGGCCTCCAGCCGCCTCTTCTCATCCATCAGGGCGGCTCTGATGAGTTACACATAAAGTCACTTCACGAAGCCTCTGATTTTCATTGCATTTCTAACCAAAAATCACCACATTGGCCCTAGGAAGTCAGTCAGTCTGAACTGAAATATTTCTACGATTGACCATTAAAAAAAAATGTAGGGCTGCAACTTACAATTACAGTGGTTAGCGATAGCAGCTAACAGCTGATCTGGTGATTTTTACAATATTAGAAATACTTTAAAAGGCACAAATAAATGAGTATATATTTTTTTTATTTTTAAATATTAATTTGTCTATTATTTTCTCAGCTTTATTAAGAAAGACCAGACATGCAGATCTAGGAAATAAAAGCTAAATGAAAATAATACAAAATAAAATGAAAGAGCAACTTTCTGTCTTCTGATTTTATTATGCAAGGAAAATGTATTTTTCTGCCAGTGGAAATGGTACTGAAGAATTCAGCAATCATTGACTTAGTGAGCAAGAATATTGATCTTGCTGAAAAGTTACTTTTGGTTTAGTTTCCTCTTATTTTAGTCTGGTTTCAACTAGAAACTAGTCACAGTGTCAAATGTTGATTTCACCTCTGAACAGTGAAATCTGTTTGGATAATTACTGTTACTGAAAATGTTAATTATCAGTCATTTTGTTGAGTTTCATTTTGCCAGGCGCTCTCTTACTTTCCGGAGGTGCTGTTGGAGATCTCGTCCTGCAGCTCGTCTCGTTCTTGCTCGGCGTGACGCCGGCCCCTCTCAGAGGCAGCCAGGTCCTGAAAACGAGACGAGAGATTCGGTAGCTCTTTGTTTCTGTCGCCGTAACGCAAAGAAGGACAAATTGAACAACATTTCAACAAGCAGACGACAAAGAGAACTCCTGACCTCATGCAGCTGAACGATCTCGGCCTCCAGGCTCTTCAGTTTCTTCTCCGTCTCCTTGGACAGGGCGAAGATGTCGTCTCTGGAAGCCCGGGTGTCCTCCAGCTCCCTCTGGTAGTCCTTCATTTGAGCCTGAAGGAGACAAAATGTCATGAAGAAGACGTGTCCCTCGCTGTTTGATCGAGCGTGGGTGAAATCGTCACCTGTAACTTGCGCAGCTGCTTGATGGCTTCGTCCCGGGCCTTGTTGGCGCCCTCTATGTGTCCCTCGATGTCCTTCAGGTCCATCTCCAGCTTCTTCTTCGCGGCTGCAGCCAGAGCTCTCTGCTTCCTCTCATCCTCCAGTTCGGCTTCCATTTCTCGCACCTGCAGCCGACGCCGTTAAAATCATCAGGAAGAGATTAAGGAGTTTGTGGATTTTTACATCAATATTGTTTGAATATTGGCTTCATGTGGTTTATGAGGCCGGGGAGAGTCTGACAAGGCAGGGGAGTAAGGTAAGGGAGTGAGGAAATGATTATTTTATTTATTCTTTTTTTTAACCACCAGTTCTATTGTTTTCTGAGAAAAGAAAACTAAGAATGGAAACTGAGAAGCTGTCGTGTTTTGTTTTTAATGTCTTGTTATTCCGATGTCTGCAACAATGTATGGTATTGTGTGGATAGAAAAAAATCAGCCAAAAAATCTCAGAAATTTTCTAGAAAAAACTTGGATATTTCTGAGTTTGAAAAGTCAAAAAATTTGCTAGAAAAAAACTTGGAAATGTTCAAAAGGTTTTTTTCTTTTCTTTTTTTTATTTTCAAAAATAAACATTTTTGACCTTTTGAAACTCAGAAATTTTCAAGTTTTTTTCTTATTTCTATTGAGATTAATCTCAAAATTTCCAATTTTTTTGGCAGACTTTTTTATTCTTCCCTTCTTTTTCTTTATCTACAATGTCACAGATGTCTGAGCTGAAAGATGAACTCTACATTTTGTAAAACACGATTGAGTATTTTGACGCTGCAAGACAAAAAGATGCCCATAAATACAGATTTTTATTTATAGAAAACTACACAGACACAGGCTTCAAGTGTTGCTGTATATTGGAAAAAATCCAATGCATGAGTGTTACTTAAAAGGAAGTAAAAATAAAATAATAAAAAAAGAAAGAGACAAAGTAAAGGACTGAGCTGGATTCCTGGTTAGAGGATTTTTTTCCCCTTCGATCAGAACGGATGTGTGTTTTGTTGGTCACCTGCTTGACCAGAGCTCTCTTCTTCTCGTCGTTCTGGTCGTCACGGCCCTGCAGGTCTCTCTCGTACTGCGCCTTCATGGCCTGCATGTTGACTTCCAGACGCAGCTTGGCGTCCTCTGTGGCCTGCAGCTCGTCCTCCAGTTCCTCCAGCTGAGTCTTCATCTCCTCCAGCTGCTGCTCCAGCGTGCGCTTGGACTTCTCCAGCTCATGGCCCTGCAGAGAAAAAAAAACCAAACCACGTGAAAAAAAAAAAATGAAAAAAAAAAGTAAAACAACGAAATATTTTGCTCCTTCATCTTTGCTCACGTTCTTGCCAACGTCGTCCTTTGAGCTCATCAGGTCCTCCATTTCGGCTCGGAGCTGCTTGTTGATCCGCTCCAGCTCCTCTTTGGCCTCCAGTGCCTCGTCCAGAGCTCTGGTCATGGATAGAGCTTTGGTCTCCTTCTCTCTGGCCTCGGCTTCGGCGCGGTCCCTCTCCTCCGCGTAGCGGGCCGAGATGCTCTTCTCCTCGGCCAGCATCTGCGGATCAGATTGGGGATTTTAACTGATAGTACTCTGAGTTTACAATTTGTGGAGTTTTAAATATGCATCTCAAGCTCATTTTCCAGAAGAAAGTTTGTGCAAAGATGTGTTCAGTGAAAAAAGTAAGAAAGTTCAAGGGGTATAAACACATTTTTAAGGCTCTGTGTGAAACCCCACAGAAGTTCCTAACTCAACATCTTCCAACCTGGTCAAACTTCTTCTGCTTCTTCTCCAGGTTGGAGACGATCTGCCTCTGGTGATCCAGGTCGACGGTGAGGTCGTCCAGTTCCTGCTGAAGGCGAGTCTTCGTCTTCTCCATCTTCTCAAAGGCAATGGTCTTCTCCTCCAGACGCTGGTTGGACAGCTCCAGGTCCTTCTGGAGCTTCTTCTTCGCCTCCTCCAGGTTTTCTATTGTTCCGACGTCGTCCTCCAGCTTCTTTTTGCTCTCCAACAGCTGCAAACACACACACATACAAACACACACACACAGTCAGAGTCAGAATCAGAAGAAAACCCCTCGGCATGCTGCAGAAATCCCGCCCCCTACCTGAGCCTGGACGCTCAGCAGCTGCTTCTCCAGGTTCTTGCGGGCCTCCTCGTCCTCCTCCTGCTGCTCCTGCAGAGCGGCTTTCTCCTCCTCCAGCTGGCGGACGCGGCTGCTCAGGTTCAGCTTCTGCCGGGTTTCCTCCTGGAGGAGCTCCTGCATCGGCCATTACTCGGTTAAAACAAGAAGGACTCAAGAGAAAAACAACACATAATGTTGAAATCCTGGGTGTTTAACCTGTGTGTCTTGCAGTTGACTCTCTAATCCGGAAACATCTTTGGCCATCTTGATGCCCTTCCTTTCTGCATCTTCCAGCAAGGCCGACACATTGTCCAGTTCGGTCTGTGTGGAGAATCGGGTGATCTTTTCTTAAGCATTTTAACTCGCATGTAAATAAATAACAAAAAGAAAAAAGATCTATTTCAGTTTGTGTAAAAATCAAGACAATATTTGAAAATGGTTCAAAATAAATCCATCATCGCCACTTGATCTGAACATTGGCAACAGAAACAGATCAATGTAAAAGTAAATGAATTTGATTAATTTAAAGGTTGAATGAGCTTTTAATTCAAATCCAAGTTTATTATGAATGGGAATATTCCTAAATATTCCTCGATATTTCCTCTCTTGTTGTTGATTCCAGGTATCCGATCTGGTTCCTGTTCATGGCATTTTTAAGTGATTGGTATAAAGTCCATGACTGAACTCAAATCCTGATGCCTGTTGTTGATTTTGTTCATTAGTTTCTACATCAGCTGGACTTCTGCTGTTAGTCATTGAGCCTGTCGCGGCGTTTTTTAGCCAGTTTGTTAAAATAACAGCCTTTTATTATTTACAAGGTTTGCTAAACTGAGCATCAAATCAAGGGAAAGAAGAGACATTTTTCATATTTAGGATCAGGATTTCCTGAATATACTTCAGAATATCAAACAATCACAAAAAGTGTAAATATGTAATTGTTTTGATAACAGCACTTCCAATAGAAAGATGTCTCAACTTATTTGGGTTAAACCCGACTCCGCCCCTCACTGACCTTCTCCTTCACTAGATAAAAGTAACTTTTTTATATGCACAATTCATCAAGTACAATGACCTTTCTAGGGTGCTATTTCAAGAAAGCACAACAATTTAAACTTTCTGGAAAGACCCTGTTAAGGGAAAAAAAAAAAAAAAATAATAATAATAATAATAATAATAATAATAATAACATTAAATGTTTGACAAATTTCCTGCAAATCAGTCATTTTAAGCTGCAACAGTGACAGAAAACCCATGGTAACATCCTGGGGGCCTGGATGAGTCCGTCACCTGCAGCTTGTGTGTGCGTTCAGCCAGCTCGCCCTTGGCCCGCTCGCCCTCGGTGACCCGGGCCATGAACTCCTGCAGCTGACCCTCCAGCTTCTTCCTCTTGTGCTCGGACTCGGTCTTTGCTTGCTGTAAGGTTTTCACCTCGTTGGCCAGCTCCTTGTTGGCATTCTCTTGGCTTTGTTTGGTCTTTTCCAGGTTAGCTTTGAACTGGATAAAAAAATAAAAAAATAGAGATGTTAAATGCTAAGCTAAACTGCATCTGTTTGTAAAAGCGTGCCGTTACTCCAGTACCCTCTTGGCCTGCTCCAGCTGCTCGGACAGCTCCTCCAATGCGGTCGCGTGCCTCTGTCTCATCTCCTGGATCTGAGCCTCGTGGTTTTTCGTTTCCTCTTCGATGGCTTTCTTCAGCTCTGCCACCTCCTGCTCACGCTTGGTTCTACTCAGAGCACAGACTGGGTTTTAGAAGTGCCTCGCCACAATTAGGGAGAGTGGAAATAAAACCAGAGGAGGATGTTACCTGAGCTCCTGCTGCGCCGCGGTCGTGTCCAGCGTGTCCTCCAGCTCCGTCTTCAGCGCCTCCAGCTCCTCACTCAGATCCCTCTTGAGTTTCTCCGCCTTGTTCCTGGCCTGCTTCTCAGACTCCAGGTCCTCCTGCAGCTCAGACAGCTGGGCCTGCAGCTCCCGGATCTGCTTCAGCGCGTTGTTCTTCTGGTTGATCTCCTCTTCACCCCTGCAGACGAGGGACAGAGAAGATGACTTATTTTAGCTCTCAGCTTTTCATATGTTGATGTTGGAAGAGTTTTTTTAGATGCAGATGTATCCCTTGACACAAATGATCAAGAGCACACTAAAGGAATGATATGTTATTGCATATCATGCTTTTGGAGTTCTCATAAAAAATGTTTATTTTTCTATTTAATAAAAGAAACTGAGTTACTTATTTGCATATTTTAATGTATTTCTAGTAATGCATAAAAAAATGGCTTAAATGAAAAACCTGCAGAATTTTCCAGGTTTTTATCTGATTAATCGATTATCATCAAAATAATTGATAGATTAATCGATAAGTAAAATCAGCCCTAATTTCTCATACATAAACCTTAACAAGGACTAGATGACTACGAAAATACATATTCATTTGTTTCATATATTCAGCTGAATAAATGCTTAGACAGCGTCTCCCACCTGGTTTGCATCATCTGCTGTTCCTCCTCCTTCTTGCTCAGCTGGACTTTGAGCTCCTCTATCTGGGACTGCAGCTCGCCTATCTGGTCCTGGAAGTCGGACGTCTCTCCGTCCAGCTTCCTCTTGGCCTTCTCCAGCTCCTGCCGGGTTTTCTCCTCTTTCTTCAGTCTCTCTAAATGGGGATTAGAGCAGCACAGAGGCTCAGGAAATAAGACATTACAAGTCTTATTTCTTTAATCTCTGCTTTATTAGCTACTTACCCTCCAGGTCCACCATCATCATCTCCTGCTTGTTTCTCATCTTTCCTAGATTTTTGGCTTTCTCTTCCTCCTCAGCAAGCATCAATGTCATTTCATTGATTCTGTCTTCAACCAGCTTCTTCTCCTGATGAAGCAGAGGGAAAGCTTTGGAATGAGTCTGAATATATTTTGATTTCTAAAAAAAAAAACCTAAACATTTGTATCTGTTTTAAGCTGTGGCCTCTCGGTCTCTCTGACCTTCAGGAACTTGGAGTTCTGATCCTCCAGCAGCAGAATATCCTCCTCATATTTCTTCATCTTGGCTTCAGCCGTAACTTTCTCAAGCTGAAGCTTCTGCCTCGCAGCCTCCTCCTCATCCAGCTGCTCTTCCAGGTCCTGCAAACATAAATTACAGCAAATACAGTTTAATTAGCAAGCATTTTGTTATTTAGAACAACATCTAATCAACTTTTCCACTTCCGATATTTGAAGGTATCTGTAGCGCTGGCCGATGCCGATCCGATACAGAAAAACAGAACTGAATTAAAACATTTATTTTTTTTAAAATTCAGATATAAATATAATGAATTACAAATTTGACAACCCTGCACCAGTACAGCACATTTCAATACACTAATAGTTTGACCAGCTTAGTCAAACATGTAAAAACAACTTTAATTTATCCAGTGAGGGCAAATAGGAGTAGAGCAGCCAATGTAAACTTAATAAACTGAAACTAGCAAAAACAACATGTGAAAATAAAATGCATCAAAATTCGTTCAAAGGTTTCAGAAAGTGAAATTACAAATTTTAAATATAGTGTAAAAATAAATAATAAAGCATTTAGTCACTCAGAGCACAAAGCATAGAATTAGACTGAATGGATCTGCCCTCATGGCCACATTGTCACAGAGACACCGACTTCTTTTCGATATCGGGACTGATACAGATGTTTATATCAGATCGCTGCATCTCCATTCATAACCGAGAACTTCACAGTTTTCCACTGTTTGACTGTAATGATCCAGGCCTTCTGGACACACCTGGATGTGGGACTGCATCTTCTTCTTCTCGTTCTGCAGCCCCTGGTTCCTCTCCTCCTCCTCCTCCAGCCTGGACTCCAGGTCGTGCAGGATCTCCTCCAGCTCTTGCTTTTTGGACGCCAGCCGAGCTCTCATCTCCTCCGCCTCGGCAAACAGCTCCGTTTCCGCCTGCAGCTGCTCCGCGAGGATGTTCTTCTCTTCCATCAGCTGCGCAGAAAAGCAACGTTAGACCCTCTGATCCGCACGGGAGAGCAGAAACAAACATGAGTTGGAAAAAATTTGGAGCCAGGCACGGAGAAAACCTGGAAGAAATGTTTAGGGAATACCTTCAGAGTGCGACTTAAAAATAAAATCTCAGATTTTTTCGTCATACCAGATCTGATTTTAATTGATTTCATTTATTTATTTTTTGCTCGCTTGCTTTCTGAAAAACAAATGATGTATTTTTCGGTCATTTTCTGTTTAATTACGAGAATGTGATCATAATATCAGTAGAAAAAAGACAGTTTCACCAGAAAAAAAAACACCTTCAAATTGCAAGAAAATTTGTTTTAATGGCAAAAAAGCTGCTGGCATAGAACCTTTTCCCAAAACAGACACACTTGTTTTATGACTGTTTCAAAAGTTCTGCTACTGACAATAACTTGATGCTAATATGTTAAAATATTCAATATATCTAATAAGCATTGAGCAAAAATTTAGTACTTTGCTAAAAATAAAACTTACACCAAGACGCTCAACATTCTTCATTTGTGGTTTTTTTGTGTTGGAGTTTTCATTAAATTATCATTTTATTTTTGGTAATGTTACAATTGTATTCATGTAATATTATGACCTTATTCCTGTAATTTGAACAAAAAAAATTTAGCCAGGCCCTAATGATCTGTCCTAATATTAAGGTCTAAATAAACAGAAGCTGTAAAATCCACAGTAAAGATGGCGGCCATGGGCGTGCTGACATCGCTCTGAACTCTAAAACTCTAAAATCTAAAAATGAAGTTTTGAAATTGATGTTTATAGACATCGAATCTGACTTATCTTCAGCTATTTCTCTAACAGGAATGTGTAGAAATTGGAAATTCAAATGCAGGCCACACTTTTCAGACTTTTATTAGTTTAAATCTCTTTTTTACTGCAGAAGCATGCAGTGGTCTATCAGAGACGTTTAAAAATACATTGAAGTTTGTAGTTATAATAATGAGACAAAATGTGAATAAATGCAGGGAGTAAGTTTTTTTTTGTTTTTTTTTTGCAAACTGAATATTAAATATGTGGTTGTAAATAACCTGCTGGTGTTTCCTCTCCATCTCCACCAGCTCTCCTTCCACCTTCATCTGCTTCTCCTTCACTTTGACCAGCTCTTCATCTTTAGCCTGCATCTCCTCCTCCTGCCTGGTCACCTGCAGCAGCGGCTTCACCTGCAGTTACAGCGGCAAAGACTTAATGCAACACGTTAAAAACGTCAAATAATAATAAAAAAACAAACGGTATACCTTGGTGAACAGCCTCCACCACTGCCAGTGACGAAGCTTCAAGTAAGCAGCACAGTTTCTCTGAAGGACCTTCAGGGCGCTGAGCTGCTGCTGCTTCTTAGCAAAGGATCTGAAGACGAGAAACAGCGAGTGAAACAAAAAGTTAAACACCGGTTTGGGTTATATGGTTCACATTTCAACAATATCCGGCCTCACTTGCGTGCCAGGTATCCTCTGCAGACGGCCTGGAAGTAAATAATGATGTCGGTGATCTTCAGGTCTCTCTCCTCCTCTAAGTGAGCCAGGACTCCGGCTCTGAAAAATATCTTGCTCTGGCCGATACGGAAGAGGTTTCCATCGAGCTCTAGTGCTTGAATCTACAAAAAGAAGAACAAGTTGAAGGTTTTGTGAGTGAAGTTTTATGGTTTTTTTGGGGTTTTTTATAAACATTATGTTTAGATGTTTAAAGCCACTACCATTCGCTCGCAGGCCTGCTTCCCGTCCATGAAACCTTTGGGAATGGCGTTGGGAGTGAGGATCTCATACCTGGACATGGAGCAGAGACAAGCAATGTCACAACAGGAGAGTAACAGACTAGTGCATTTATCTGATTTGTTTTATTATTATTTTTGAGTATTTAAACATTAAAGCAAATTCTGATACATTTTTACAAGAGAATGAAAGCATACAATGGGAATCTCTTCATTATTTTATATTATTCCAAATTGTTCATCTGTATTATGTATGCAAATTAAACAATGGATGCAAAATAAGAATATTTGTGTCCAACTCCAATAACTTCATTAAAAGCAGCAGCATGCATTAAAAGCTCATTTAAAATGTAGTAAAATAAGAAACTACATGGTCTTAATGCAGCCATATTTGTTTCCTTCCGGTTTTTTTCTTCCCAACACATCCTGATGTTTCTAAACTACAACACACAGTCCCTGCTTACTGGTTTCTCTGGTTTTCGCTTTTTTGTGACAAATTTATCAGACAAGAATAACCTGAGTCAACACAAAATTAAACTTTCAGATGATGATACATTTATTTATGGGAGAAAGAGTTCTTTAAAACAAGTTAGTCCTGTGAAATATCAACGCCTCCTTTGTTAGATACGTGATGTGATGAACCACATTTTGTCGGGTAATCAAGAAATTACCAAGCTAGAGCCTTTTGACATAAAATCAAAGACACTAAACCAACAATAGGCATCACCATTGAGTTTGGTAACGGACCACGGTGCTGTTCACTTAAAAATGCAGGATTAGGACCACGAGCTTATATGAAGAAAAAAAAGCCTCTCAAGTGATTATTAATAGTAAAAACAAAGGACAGCTGAAACATCACCTCTGTCTGAACTCCTGGAAAACGATCCGATTTGGGAATCCCTGTCTGCAGATGCGGATCCCCTCCAGCACGCCGTTACATCTCAACTGGTCCAGAACAAGGTGAGGGTCCAGCTTCCCAGCCTGGAGGAGACGGGTTGTATGTTTAACTTAGTTTGTCTTAGTGTACTTCAGACAGGATTGGAAAATAAAATGGTAGAATAATCCCCCCAAAATGCAACATTGGTAAGTAAAATTAATACATATAAACAATGATTTCACACTATTCACAGAACATCAGTTTAATGTTGTGCTGAAAACAGGGCTGCAACTAATGAGTATTTCAGATATCGATTAATATTATTAGATTTTTCTTTTCTTCTTTTGCTCTCTCCTTTGGTTTGTTATTTTGTTTGTATTTCCTATTAATTCACGTAAAGCACTTTGAAATGCCTTGTTCCTGAAAAAGTGCTATATAAATAAAATTAATCAATTAATATGTCGATTGTCCTCACAATAATCGATTAATCGGATTAAAAAACTGCCACATTGTGCTGATTTTTCACTTAAGCTTTTTTGTGCCTTATTAGAAATATAATAAAAGATGTAAGTAAACAAATAACTATTTATTTTATTAAATAAGAAAATAAACATGTTTAAAATGCTGGAACGTAGCATTACATCAGTGCATGCTTGAACATTTGTATCAAAGGATCTGCAGGAATAAAAATGCTGCAAACAATAATATGTGAAAAGCTCAGTCCTTTCTGCTCAACTTATCAATACAGTGTAGGGCTTTTTATCATTTGAAACTAAAACTATGACACTGAGTATTGTGTAGGACATAATAACAAGATAATATTTTCTTTTCTTAAATGCAAAATGCATAAATGTTCTGTATAATTTTAATTAATTACAGCTTTGAATATGTTGATCTTAACACCAGTTGGGCTTTTTGAGTCTGTATGCACCAATTAACGATTAATCGATTACTACATTTGTTGACAATTATAATTGATTCTTCACGATTAATCTGATTAATCGTTTCAGCTTTGGTTTGAAATGGAGTAAAATCAAGCATAAACCTATAAAATACAACCTAGAGCTTGAATAGTCTGCTCTCAGATTTAAGTCCAAGTTGAAATGTGTTTAGTTTAATCACTTCATGCAGTTTGTCATTAAATATATGACTGTAGGTGTCCAGCTGCGATCCCACACAGCCGTCAGACATCAGTGTGTGAAAGAGGAAGCTGTGAATCATCTCTCAGTCATGCTGACTCACTCGTTTTTCGTGGTTGGGGATGATGCAGCGCACAAAGTTGGGATTTGTGTTCCTGAGTGTGGCCATCAGCTTGGACAGCTGCTCTTTGTACAGCTGTCCAACCGTGCGAAACATGCCTTTCTTGGTCTTGTAGGCAGCGCCGAAGGCCGTCTCGTTCATGCCTGCCACCTGGTCCAGACCCACGATCCGGTCCACTAATGGTAAAACAACAACAACAGGAAAAACAAAACATAATAATAAGAGATTCTTAAGATATAGATGGGATTTTTTTACTTTTCTGATGTTGTTTACTGCTAAATGCTGTGATGCTTCAGCTACTTTAACAAAATAAAAAAAGAAAAGCCAGCAACGTGAAGCTCTTGTGGAGTTTAAGTCTTGATGTTTATAAGGAAATGCTGCAAATAAAGACTGAGATGTACAGCTGTGAAGTATTTTCTTTTCTCTTTTGTTTTTTGCAATGAAAGCATGAAGACAACATTCAGACATGAAAACCAGTCTGTTGGTTGGAGTTTATGAAAGGTAGCAGAAACTGAAGTTCAAGTTTGTAGAAAAATAAATACACAAAAAAACTTAAACCTAAAACTTTTTCAATACATTACATACCACCAAATCCCAAAAAGGCCATTATACTTCCCAGTACAGACGTTGTTCCACCACATGAAATTTGACTTCACTGACTGAAAGTCTGTGGTGTGAGAAGACAAAATGTGAAAATAACTGAAGGGGTGTAAATGTGTCGGGACCCAACGATTCAGCCTTCCTCTTTGTGCTTTTCAACAGGTAAGATGGAAAAAACCCAGAGGACATCAGCGGTTCGGCTGCAGCTGTTTGTGTATGTAAAGAAAAAAAAAACAGCTGCAAAAGGTAACTGTGTTGTATATACAAACATTAAATAACAAAGCAGAGCAGAACAATGAGAACTGTTCAACATGAGTATCTAATCAGATAGCAATGTTTAGTCCTTGTTTTCTTTCCTTCTTTTTTGTTTTTTTTATTTTTATATAATACAGGAAACTGTGATCTGACTCTGTCATTGTGTGTATTAGCGTACCTCCCTTATAAGAAAACAAACACTGAACTTTAGAATAACAATAAGGTGCACAAAAAGTATTTTTTCAATTATAAATGTGATCAAGTATGAGAAATTTGGTCCAAACAGCTGAAGAACTACTGATTTGCTTTAATGCACTCCAGAAATAAATAAAAAATCTCATTGTGAAACTATTGAATCGTTTCAGCAGGTTAATAAAATAATGATTTGAATTAAATGGAAGATGTTATGCAACACATATTTTTCACATTCAATATTTTGAAGTTGGATCAGATATCTGGCCATCAGAAGTTTCCATGGTTTTTGAGCCAATAAATGACAGCAACAATATTTTTGCAAACTGAAATCATCCCTGGATCCAGAGAGTTTGGGAAAAGAAAAAAAAAAAAGAAAAATTTTCCATGTGCTGAAGGTTCGGATGAGGCTGCTGGAAGCCAAACGATGCTTTGTTAGAAGACTCATCACAGCATCGGTGGAAATCTCAAAGTGAAAACGTGCTAAAAAGAACATTTGCAAGGGACATTTTGGTTCCTACCATCGCTGCAGGATGAGATAAACTGCAGAAACAATCACCAGGACTCCCTAATTTGAAGCACTGCCGAGCGGTGTGAGCATAATGAGGCTGAAGCTCTGACATGAGGTCAGATTCTGATGAAGACACACAAGTTTGTGCAGCAGGCAATGCTGTCCACCTCTTTTACCAAACAAAACACTCCAGGAACTGTAAAATATTATATCAACTCCTGAAACATTCACTGAAATAATCACAGTTGGAGAAAGCTGCAACCATCACGTTTTCCGTGCCTGAGGTTTTACCCAAAACAAAAGCAGAGCCATGCAAAGCTGGAGGAATGCGTGGTGATGTATGCACGAATGCACTGATGACACGGAAAGGGGGATGAATGGGGGCCTGGCAGCGGCAGCAATGAGAGACAGTGAGAAGTACAGAAAGCTGGTTACTAACATTCACCTGGAGCTTCATGGAGCCCAGACACATTGTCATAGAAAGAGGCTCTCTGAAACGTCTGAATGTCTACAGCAACAGAGAGAGAAGACAGGCGTGAGAGAGAAGGAAAGTAGGCATGCATACACAAACACCCATTGTTCACACTCCCTCAGGCACAAGTTATTACTGCATTGAGGAGACGTTAGAAAGTGGCCTGAAAGAGTAAAAGTTGGTCCAAACGCTGGCTACTGTTTAGGCGCAAGATTTTAAAACTAATTTATAATTATTTACGTAATACAGAAACCTGTTACAGTGTAAAATAAGCATTTGGCTTTTGAAGTGGAGCTCTGGAGGAAACTCACTGTCTAGTCTAGGGGTGTCCAAGTTGTGGCTCAGAGGGCCATTTCTGGCCCCTGGACTGATTTTGTGCGACCCATGGCTGCAGTTTGAGAATGATAAACATTTGCCTGTCCCTTACAGCACTTAAGTTGTTGTAAAAATTGTGTGTGTGTATATATATATATATATATATATATATATATATATATATATATATACACAACAGATGAAATTGGGCCTCTGTCTCTTTAAAAACTCCTGGTCTTTCTGAAACTCCACCTTCAGGAAGACATCCCAACATGGCTCCTCTATTAACTCTTTAGTGACCTTTATACCAGCGTTTCACTGAGAAGCAGCTCCTATAATGAGCTCAGCTGATGCTCAGCTTCACCAGGTGTGAAGCTGATTACAGGATTTCTCAAATGTACATGAAAAAATCAAGTCAACACTCCAGGTATGTTTGTAATGAGGGAATAACATTATAACATGATACAAATCTCAAAGAAGTTGATTTTGCATAATACTGACACTTTAAAATCTTAAAACTGAAAATGTTTTNACACNACACAACACGAAGTATATAAAAAAATACATTAAAATAATAATCAAAGTATGTTGCTTTTCCTTTTTCGTCTAATTTTTTTGACCCGCAAGACTTTTTGACTAGATAATTTTGGTCCATGTGGCAAAAAAGTTTGGACACCCCTGGTCTAGTAGGAACTTCTTCAAGATTAGATAAAACAGAAAATGCAGATTTGAGGTAAACGGTTGTGCAGCTGAAATCATAGTGAGCTCTAAGCAAAGAGAGACGTACCGTCTTTCCAGAGCTCAGCCACAAATTTGTCAGTTGACTGGTGGAGCAACGTGGCCACATTGTCATTCAGAGGATCCATGTTTTTCATCAGCCATTCGTCAGCTTTATAGTCCACCTACAGAAACACAACAGGTGATCCAGTTTTTATCTAAGCAGCTACAAAAGCAAAATTTTCTAGAAATGATTTCAACTCCATTAATTATCCCGAATAAAATCCCAATGAAAAAAATACAATCAGGTAGTTCTACAAAAGAAATCTGTTTTTTGAGTAATTTATACTGAAAACAGAAATGTAGAACAATTTATTGTAATATCAGATTCTAATTACACACTAATTTCACCCATGTTCACTATGAAAATACTGCATCTTGAATGCATATTTTAAAGTTAACACCAGCAGAAGAGGCTTCTAGTCTGCACTCTGTTTGTTTCACTTTTTAATAATAATCTAAGTAGTGCATCTGAAGCTGATTTTGACAGAAAAAGAAAATCAGACGACTGGCACTAGTTGGGATCACAGGTTCAAACTGTCAAGCCCAGTATTATTCACTAGCAGCACATTATGTTGATATTAGAGGAATGGTTGTTGGATAGCTAAAATGTTCCTATCCCAGGCCTCTGCTGTTCTGATAAATGCTCTAAAATAACCAACCTGTCAGGTAAGCATTATATTTAAAGCTGAGCCACAAGCACGCTTTTATGTTTCTTTTTTTTCTCTTTTAATTTAAAATATTACAGGCAACGAACATATGGACAACAGGGATATAGCAGCACAGTAGAACTAGAAAATTTCTGGAGAAATTTAAACGGGGCCTGCCAAAGTGTGCCTGTTGGTTGGAACTCAGCTTTCTGATGATAAAAATTAACATTAGCATTTAGACAAAATGCTAATGTTAGCCTAAATGCTGCCAGTGGCATGTGGGCTACAACTAGCATGTTGTCTTACATTGACTTCCTCCATTCAGTGTGCTAAACATGGCTAATAAATAAACAAAATAGCTAAAAAGCTTATTTTAGGGAAAAGGCTAATGTGGGCTGCTAGCATTAGCAATGTTTGTGCTAATGCTAATGCACGGCCTTCTGATCTGTACTTTTGCAAAAGTAAAAATCAAATGTTTACTTCGTGGCACTTGGTAACCAGAAAACGCGCTCGTCTCTTAGCAACAGATTAACAACAAATATTGTTCTCATTCAAAATACATAAGATTTCTTCTGGTCTTCTGAAATACTATTTATCTTCCACTATTTACAACTTAACAAGAATTGTGTAATTGGTGAATTTGGGAGAAAAGTGAAAATGTTTTATTGTTTTTGTTTTTTTTGTTTTTTTGTTTTTTTGTTTTTGTAAATGTAAAAATCTGACTTATACTTCGTGGCAGCTCGTTTACAGAAAAAACACTCATTGGTTCACACCAAATTAATAAGTAATATTGTTTATAAAACATGAGCTCTTTTTAAATACTGCTTATCTGCTTAGAAATGGAAATTTACAGTCAGTAAATTTTGCAAAAGTAAAAATCAGATGTTTACTTTGTGGCACTTGGTTACCAGAAAACGCGCTCGTCTCTTAGCAACAGATTAATAACAAATATTGTTCTCATTCAAAATACATAAGATTTCTTCTGCTCTTTTGAAATACTATTTATCTTCCACTAATTACAACTTAACAAGAATTGTGTAATTGGTGAATTTGGCAGAAAAGTGAAAATGTTTTTCTTTTTTTTTTTTAATAAATGTAAAAATCTGATTTATACGTCGTGGCAGCTCGTTACCAGAAAAAAACACTTATCTGTTCACACCAAATGAATAAGTAATATTGTATATAAAACATGAGCTATTTTGAAATACTGCTTATCTGCTTAGAAATGGAAATTTACAGTCAGTAAATTTTGCAAAGTAAAAATCAGATGTTTACTTTGTGGCACTTGGTTACCAGAAAACGCGCTCGTCTCTTAGCAACAAATTAACAAATATTGTTACTGTTCAAAAAACATAAGATTTCTTCTGCTCTTTTGAAATACTACTTATTTAATACTACTAAACAAGAATTGTGCAGTTGGTGAATTTGGAAAAAAAAGTATTTATTTATTTTTTTGTCATTGGTGGTAGATATATTTTAAAACATATATACTTGTCTGCAGTAAGCATTCAGCCAATGTGGCGTCCCTGTAGTTGTAACAGGAAGCTCTGCCCTCCTCTGTAAAAACTGAGTGTTCTGGCATCTCTGTAGTTCTCTACATCTCTGCTCTATTGCTATGGTAATTAATCCTCTCTGAAAATTGTCGTGTGTGAGTGAGACACAGAGGGGGAGACATCTCTCAAATTAATAATATTAATTCGGTGCTTGCTTTGCAAGACATTTCAATGCTCTCCTATGCTCTGCTATGGCAGGCCCCAATAAAAACAGCTAAGTAACTGAAATAGACAGAGACATTTTCCCACAGTTCCATTACTTATTGGTCAATACAAAGTGCATACATAATCAATTTTTTCCAACATTTGGTAAATTTCTCCAACTCCACTCTCAAGGAAAGCATAAGTCTCTCCATGCTATAGATTTCTTTTTCTTCTTGGTCTTCATGATGGTGTTTGTAAAGTAATTTTCTCTACCAAACCCCTGATGCTTTCTCAAAGCATCTCACTAATCATCTACTAATAAGATAATTATTTACTAATTAGGTGATTTTTGAAGGCAAAAGGTTGCATTGGATTTTATTAGCAGTATTGAGTTTAGTTAGCCTCACTTTTCCATCTTCTACCTGTAAAACATCTAGGAAACCAGGTATTGTTTTCCTCCTACTTTGTGTTTTGCTCAATAAAAATCCTAATAAAATATTCAGTTTGTCACAAAATGTGTAAAAGTTCAAGAGCGTGAATGCTTTAGCAGGGCACTGTCCATGCAAACCGAGCGGGATAATGAGAAACCAGTGACATGCTCAACAACCTGAGACTCTGCACGTGGCTTTAATCAGGACTCTTAATAAACAACCACATAATGTTCACAGCTATTTTCCCCCTCAGTATTGCAGTCATGCAGGAATTGTTTCATGAAATTCCACGCTATTCCTGGATCCGGCCGTCTAAGTGAACCTGGCACTTCACATATTCCTGATTACGGATCAGGACTCTGAGTGTTTGCAAATAAGCACAACATCGGAAACCAAAACACATGTAGACCCTAATGGAGCTGGAGCTCCAGACGTAACGTCGTATTTTATGACAGCGGCCTTCTCAGGAATGCTGAGGAGGATCGGTTCAACTAACAGATGCCAGACCTCCACAGAGAGAGAAAGGTGAAAGCTAAAAAAGAAAAAAAGAAAACTTGTGTTATGTAACCAGCAGGCATCAGAAAGCCCATCTCATACCAATCTGAACCAGATGTGGGTTTCCTGCAGCAGCAGTTCAACAACTGTGCCTTTGTTTTCACGCTGTGACCTGGGCAGCTACGCTATTAGAGGAGCCTCAGAGAAAAACTGGCTTTAAACTAGGATGTATGGGTGATACGGACTTAAAGTTTCATCACGAAATTTTGCGGTAGTGTTGTGACAATGATAAAAGTGACAATAAGAACTATTTATTACATCTTTTTAGGTAACTGTATGAATGTGACTGTGTGTTGCAGCAATTAAAGACCTACAAACCCAAAAATCATGTTCTTGAAAATGAAAAACATTCCCATTTGTAATGTGCTTCTTTAGGATAGTCATGTAAATTAGTGTATCACTAAGCTGCTGAATTTTCAGATTTATTGGTATTTAATGATGTTTTTATTGTACAAACAGCAGAAAAAATAGTAAACCTATTAATTCTGATAATACGGAGAGTTTTTTTTAAACATAATTAGTGGAAATTTACTGTGATTGAGATAAATCGAAATTCTCATCATGATAAGAAATTTATCACGATAAATAGTAACAATACGATAAATGCCCACCTTTCGTGGGAACACGTCTCTTTAAAAGACAAACTACAAATATTAACTCCTAAAGCTGCTGAAAAAGTTTCAAAGTCCAAACTCCTAAAGAGAGCGATCAGAAAGCGGCAGATACGTACCCTCCCAGCGTAGTGGATGATGCAGAAGTCTGCCTTGTCCTTCAGCTGCCGCGGCTTCTGGAACTTGGCGTGCGTGCCCAGCTCCTGCAGCACTTTGTCCACAAATGTCTTGTCTGTGGCTTTGGGAAACCAGCACTCCTCGTCGAGCAAAGCCAGGATTCCTGGAGGATTGTTCTGAGAAAATACGCACGGTCAAAATCCCCGGAGAAGACGCGCAGGCGTGTCAGGCACGTGGTAGTAGACCGACCGGCCGCTCGATGAGGTCGATGCACGGCTGCAGGTCCAGGCCGAAGTCAATGAAGCTCCACTCGATGCCCTCCCTCTGGTACTCCTCCTGCTCCAGGATGAACATGGTGTGGTTGAAGAGCTGCTGCAGCTTCTCGTTGGTGTAGTTGATGCACAGCTGCTCGAAGGAGTTCAGCTGGAAAACAAACCGGTCGAGTTAGCGAAACGTTTCTCGTTGAACGCGACCGTAGAAGATGGTAAAACGCCACCTCGAAGATCTCAAAGCCAGCAATGTCCAGGATGCCGATGAAGGAGGCGCCCTGTCGCTTGGTCCTGTCCAGGGCCTTGTTGATGCGGTGGACCAGCCAGCGGAACAGCCGCTCATATGTCGCCTTGGCCAGGGCCTCCACAGCAAAGTCAGCCTGCGTTAAGAGAACAAAAACCACACCGTCAGTAACGCAGGAGTGATCCGAGTGCGGTTCAGGAAATCAAGATCTGTTCCAGAGTGAGGTCAGACAGCAGGACTCAAACGGGACGATCAACCAATCAGCTTTATGGTAGCAGGAAAAGCTATCAGTGATTTAATCACACAATAAATGAAAATGAGCCTGATCATTTCCATTCTGATGATTCATATTTTTTGAAGGGTTATTTTGTTTATAGAGACATCATGATCCATTTTATTATTGGCTTTTGTTGTGTGTGGCTTTGAGTTATTGTTTGTAGTTTTTGGTTGTCGTGTTTCATTTTGGATATTTAAGATATTTTTCAGTTTCAGTGTAAAGTTTTCTTCACAAAATTAAAGTTTATTGGTAAGTGACACAGAAATTAACTTGCATTATTATTCCATTATCAGTACATTACTTGAAAATGGTCTCAAAACAACAATATTATCATTTATCTGGGACAATTTATCGTCTAGCAATATTTGTTATTGTTACAGGCTTAGGCATGTGTCATTTTTTTCACTTATGTATGAAGATTGACAACTTTATGTTGCTCTGATCTCAATAAAATATTGGTAATGTGAAAAAGTTTAAGACGTGCACTGTAAGAAAAATTTCCACAAAAAAAAGAAAATCCTTTCAGAAAATTACCAGGACATTTTCCACTAATTTTACAAACATTTGCGTCAGCTCAAAAACAGACTTTAGACATATTTAACAATTTGTCGTGTTACATTTTTTCATATCTCTGTAAATCCAAATTTCCTGCATTTTTACATTCACAAACATTTCCATTGTCTAAAAACTTAAGTTTTCTGTATTTGTTACAGTAAATCTCACAAACACTGACATGAAGTAGAAAATACAAGGAAAACACCTGTTAAAAGTCTAAAAACAAAGTTCCTTCACATTTCTACATTACATTTATCCATGTCTTCCGTAATCCATTCTTCAGATAACTTGACCCTGACTGGCAACTGTGGCACGGAGCTTCACCTGTTCTTTGGTCTGAGCTTTTTGCACGTAGTCTCGTCCCACTTTGATCCTCGGGGTCAGGATGGCTCGGGTAAACTCCATAACATTCATGCCAAGCAGGTGGCAGAGCTTCTGTGCCGCTGAGAGAAGCAAAAAAAAAACAAACAAAAAAAAACAGAGGTGAGTAACTTCCTGTGTAATTAAAACAAAACAACAGCCGGAAGCCTGATTATTCTGTATAGAAAATAGCGAGGACATAAAACGGGTTCTCTAATGTTACCCGCAGAGGGAGGCATCATCCGGCTCACCTGTGTTCTCAGGCATTGAGGCTTGGTCGGTATTCCTCTCCTTCTTGAACACGACGTTGCCAAACTGCAGCACGGCAGAAACCACCTTTAACATGCCTGGTGAATTCAGAGCAAAATAAAACTTTATTTGTTCGCCCCATGGAGGATAAACTAACGGCACCACAAGAGAAGGAAGGGAAAAAAACAGATTTCGCTAATGGGATGCAGACGCGGACGGCACATCTGGAAACGGAGCTTACAGACTATTTCGTCATGGGAGAAGCCCATGATGTGCATCGCCTCCATTGTCTCCTGGAAATTCTCCTTGTCCTGCTGACCCGGGATGGGAATGTTGCCATTTGACAAGAACCTGTAGCTGTTGAATCCCTCAAGAAGGAGATCAGCTGTGTAAGGAAAACAAGTAAAACTATTATTAAACATACATTTCCCATAGATTAATTAATATTTGATTGGATTAAGTTCACAACTCGCAACAAATTTAATCTCAAGGCGCTTTACAAAACAGAAGTAGACAGTCAATGCTAAATCACAGTAACAGTTTTTTGTCTTTTTAGTTTTTGTTGCATTTTTATCTAAATATCTTTTGCTTCATCCTGCAACGGCGTGAGCCAATCAGACAAGTAAATCCAAACCGGGTCTCTTGAGCTCTGCAGCAAACAAGTGAAAGATTTGATGCCAACCGGGTCGTTAAGAGGACAGAAACTCACTTCGAAGATGCTCTCCAGCTCCTGCCAACAGGCGATAGAAAATGTGGAAAGTCCTCTCCTCTTTTGCCTGCCTGATGGCTCTCGACTTTTCTAGAAGATCTGTGGGGCCAGAGTTAAGGACTGGCAGGGAAAACATTATCCGAACAATCAAACTCCCTTCAGAAAAAGAAATAAATGCATGCAGTATTCATACCTGATGAACTCTCATGTTTTGCCACAATACAGCCCCAAATAACGCCTGCAAATTAGACCAACACAGTAAACTATGTTGGTCTAATGGTGGTGGGAGTTAAATGTAAACTGCCAGGGGAGGAAAACATGATTTTCAATAACGTTTTGCAATTTAAAACCTTAAAAAGTGTGGCATGCATTTATGTTCAAACCACTTTTCTCGAATACCCTCAAAGAAAATTCAGTACAACCAGTTAATTCCCGTCAATTGTCCGTTTACGTCAAAGCATGTTCACGAGACAGAGTGGTCCAGTCAAAGTCCATCTCTATAACCAACGGAATCTGAGGCAAGATTCAAATGTTGATGTTCACAGATGCTCTATATTTGTTTTAGCTATCTTGTGCTTCAACTACATATTAACTCACAGTGGATAAAAACAAGTGCATGCCACACTATTCAGCCCTACTCTATTTTATTTTGGTCCATCACATAAAATGTAAAGAAAACACACTAAAGTTAAAGTTCAAGGGAGTAGATACTTTGGAGAAGCACTGCATCAGAAATAATAATAAAAAAAGAGTAGCTATCACTTTAATGCAATTTATTTCTATCATTTCAACTGTGTTACAGGATTAAAAAAAATATTGTAACATTTTTCTATTAGTTCCCTTACTAAAGAAAGAGATAAATGTAGGAAAACAAAACAGCTTGGATAGCATGCAGAGAGACTCACATTATTAGTTGAACACACGTTTTGTTGGGCTCTTGTTTTTTTTGTTTTTGTTTTTCTTTAAGAAGTGATCCATTGTTCCTTAGATCAGAACCTGGCATTAAGGATACAGGTTTCAATATTGGCCCCAACAATGTAGCCAGTAACGTCAAAGTTGATTCTGATGAACTTCCCCTGGAGAACAAGACAGATGAACGAGTCGTTATTAATCAAAAACACTATCACACATCCACACTAACACGACTATACGGTTTCATGCGTTTGCCATCAATCTTGCATTCAGCTACGTTTCTTTCCTCCTTCTGGGCTCTGCTTTATTTTACATACCACCCCCAAGTGGTTTCTTGCTCACGACAAAAAATGCAGTGAGGAACCAAAATGCCCATATTAGGAGGTGCCAGGTTAACATGTCAAGCAGGAATCCGAGGCATGTGTGTGGTTTCCTGACAGTAAATGTGTCTCGGTCTGTGGGAACGTGTGCATCCACTGCTGTTCGGCAGACACACCTGTGATTAATGTGGACCTGGCCACCGCGGCGTTTAATTTTCACCACATGGTTTACTCAGCCACAGAGAAATGTGAAACGCTCGGGGGCGAACACTGATTCGATTACCGTGCGCCAAACCAAGTTCGACGAGTGGCTCTAAATGCTACACAACCGACCTAGTAAAACCTTAAATATATGTGTGTATGATGGTTTTCCAACAGATTTCTGCCAGTCGGACATGATTTCATGATGTTCCTGGGAAGAGTTGGGAATTTGATTTTAGAAGCCAGTTTTTTGTTGAGATTTTTCACCACAAATTTATTTTCTTTTGTGTTTTTACAGAATCTTTTACATTAAAATTCAAATTTTTACCACAACAATTACCATTTAAAAATAAAAGAGGGCTAAAATCTAGTGTAATGTCAAGAGACCTTCTTTCCTCAAAGAGTTGGAGCTCATCCAGAAATATAAATCAGCAAAATACCAGCGGAAATGCGAACAAATATAAGCAGATGCTAACTCTGAAAGGCTAGCTAGAAGCTACATTCTTACTAGCCTTTAGTGCCAACACCAAATTTGCATCTTGTCTGTTGTGGTTTATTTTTGTCCATAGATTAACCAGAATAACCTGGATCACACAAGTGGTTTAAAAGTGGTTCAGGCTTCTTCAATGCCATTACAAACGAGGATTGTTTGACATAAAGATCCGTCATTTCTGTAGACACAACAGATAAACCCAAAACTGACTTCCTTTTTCCTACAAAATAAAAGTGAAAAAATAGGTTCAGAGTATAAAGAGTATGAGGTTTTATATCTAGAGTGCATAAAAAAAAAGGCTTAGACTTACTTCAACAGAAAGAAATCACATGTTGACAAATGAAAAGATGTCACTGTCCACTCATTGTTTACTACTGTGAGTCTCATCCAACAGGATCTTTTCCACTCCTAATAAACAGTCCAACCAAAAGAAGTTCAATAAAAACTCATCTTGACTGGGTGAGAGCTCAGTTTCCTCCCTGGATGTTTTTGAACAAAGAAAATGTTCATTTAAACAGATAATTTAAACTCACAAAGCGAGACGAGTTGTCGTTTTTCACCGTCTTGGCATTGCCAAACGACTCCAGGATTGGATTGGCTTGCAGGAGCTGACGTTCCAACTCCCCCTGTTAACAAACACAAAGAGGTCAACAGGCTCTCAAATGCATCTATTTTTTTTTTTTAAATCTCCGTTTTCACGTTTGTCTTTTTAATCCAAGACACACACAAGTAGGCGATGGCAAAAATAAATATCTCATGAAAGCAGAAAGAGAAAAAAAAAAACAAAGCCACGTTGTGCTAAGCTATACTCCATCAAGGCTGCTTTGCAGTCGCTTAAACGAACTGCTGAACAGAGGCATTTTTGTCAAGAGAATTCAACAAGTTTCAGGGGCCAAGACAAACACACAGATTGAGAAGCCGTGTTAAACCACGGAGGCACGAAGGAAGTGTGGCGGTCTGAACGCTCAATGGAGAAAAGTCACTTTGTGAGGACTTTCTCCTGCCCCCTACATTCCTCTGGTCGAGATCATATGAACCGTATAGAACGTGGTAAAGGAGTAACAACCAGTCAATCGCACAATGCCTTTTTCCGCAAACTTGCCCTAATCTCATTTTATGTCAAAGACTACAGAAGGACATTAGCCTTTGTAGCCAAATCTGGCCCATTTTTAAAATCTTAAAGCTTGGGTCCTAAAACATTTAATTCTCCAAGATTTTTCACCATTTCCATTTTCCATGATGATGGCAGAACAGAAACAACTTCTTCTGTAACCTGGATCATCTATGGACTCTGCATCACCCAGAATGAACAGTTTGTTTTGACAAGGCCCTGACTTGCTCCAGAGTTTTTTTTACTGCTCTTATTTATCTACTGTAAGACTATTAACAGTTACAAATATCATAAAACTAATTCTATCTCTTAAAAGTATTGCTAAACACAATTTCAAATGCTATAACAATGGGTGCCTAGTAGAGAAATCTTTACTAATCAGACAGCAAATTATCCGTTTCAATCTGGGTTTTCCAAGCATTGTATTGTACAAACTGCCAAACTCTGTCTTATTAAAGCTATATAAAGATCTACTTGACCTCAGTTTTGATTCAGCCTGGTGAGAATTTTGCTCAATAGGCTTATAGGCATCCAGTCTGGGCTGGTTTTCCTCTCATTTAAACAACTGGTTTTTCTACCAACACCAGCAGCTCCTCTTCTGTCAACGTTTACTTGATCTGTGGTGTTCCTCAAGTTACTATACTTGGTCCCTTGTTGTTTTCCATTTATATGCTTACTTTACCAGGTGTTATAAGGTATCTTAAGAGAATCTCCAGCCATTTATATGTAGGTAATGTTTAGTTGTATATTCCTTTTAAACCAAATCGATGTCCACCCTGACAGTCTGAACGATGTAGAGGACTGACTTGCTTCTGATTACATTTCAGTCAGATGAAAAGAAAACAGAGATTATAGCCTCAACTGAAATGTACTCAACATTAATTGCTTTTGGAGTCAGTTTTGACTCCAACCTAACACTGGTGAGGTCTAACCCAAGTCTTCTCCACTTCTTCCTGACCACATTTCAGTCACTGCTATGGCACTATTTTCTTTGCTCTCCCTCAATCCCTGCATTCCTCTGGCTGTAATGCAAAGCAGGAGGAAAGCTGCATTAAGGAGGTCAGGGTGGACAGTGCAGCTAGGCCAAGGAGCCGCAGAGGCACTGAGGTCCAGCTGCTAACTTTCGGCTACTGGATTTGAGCGTAATAACAGTGAACTCGGTCGTGTCTGAGCCAAATGTTTCAGGTTAAAGGAGTCATAAAGACTCACTCTGCATCTGCAGTTATTAGATTTGCCAACATTCGGTTCTGATTTAGGGGAGAAGGGAAAAAAAAGAAAAAAAAAAAGAAAAACGGCAAGAACACAGACTGCAGAAAAAAAGGTGAGCAACAAAATACAGTTTGCCTAAAATTAAGAAAAACAGACATTGGAATGAGATTTTTATCCAAATAAAAATTTAGAATAAAACATTGAGATACAATATCCTAACTATAACACAAAATAAGATCAGATTAAATGGACCTCAAACTACAGGCATGCACTTAAACCTCTAACAAAATGAAAACATGCAGGAATATGCCATACATTTTATTTTATTTCATCAACTTGAATCAACAAATAGAAAATAAAGAAGATGGAGGAGAGTTGTTTGGTGCGGCTGCCATCTGATCTGCACACTGCTCAACATCACGGCTCCACAGACTCGGGCCCCATTAGAACTTCATAAATAGTCATTCTTTATTGTCAGGCATGTGTTTCTGATGAAGCCTTCATTCCAAACTGTTTTAATAAACCAGAACCAACTGATAAAACATCGTTTTGTTGTCACGAGTCTGCTGGGTTAATGCAAGAATCACTTCTTTCCATGTGAGAAGACTGAGCCAGCACAAACAAATACCTCACAACATCATAAGCTAACATTAGTCTGTCCACATCATTACAGAAAAGCCAGAGATTTAGAGAGGAGGGCATGCAGATCAGTACAAACATGAAAATAGACGACACCCTCGCCGGGGGATCCACTTGCCTGTAGCTTGAATGCTTTGGGAGAATCGGGCTGTGCATTTTGGATAAACAAATGCATGTGTTAAAAGGTGAAGTGCTCATGTCGCACACAAGCAACAGAAAACAGAAGAGTAGGAAGCCTGAGCGCTTCGAAGGCTGATGATTGTTACGTCATTTCTTACTTTCTTAAAAAATCAGAGCATGAATGATTAATTTCGCATTTTGAGAAAAACACCCACAATACTTTCAGCAACAGAAGTGAGAACATGTTAGCTTAAAAAATTATAGACGCTAGATTCTGTTTTGATTTGGCCATATGTGCTGAACCGTTGTTATCCTGAAAGATCGTATGACGGCCAATTTTCAGCTCACTGTTAAAATCCATCACATTTTCACTAAAATCACTGGTATTTCACAGATTTCCTAATATAATAAACTCCAAGTTCCCAGGGAGATTAGAAGAGAAAAAAGCCCACATCATCACAGATCCACCACTATGCCCAACTCTTTCTGTAAATTCATTCCTATTTTAATGTTAAACTTGAAGTGATTTTTTTTTTTTTTGGCTTTTGGTTTTGATTTTTCTGAAAAGACCAATATTATTCTCATCTCACTAAATAAGACTGTTTGAGGTAAATGTCAAGGTTACAATTGTCCTAAAAATTGTTGCTATTCAGATGCCATCTAATTGTTGCTACGGATACTCAGTGGTCCAAAAATGTCACCATTTGCAACATTTCTCTTAACAAGTGAGCTTTGGAGATTTTTTTAACTCCCTCGCCATCCTGCTTAATATGAATGTTGGCAAAAAAAAAAGTTTGGGTGATGTAATATTTATACACCAGAGAAACAGGAAGTCCTGGGTTACTAATTAGAAATCATTAGAAATTTTGATTGACTAAAACAAGCAGTTTTGGATAGTTATATCCTAAATAGATGGGGCTTGTGCCACCAGTGACATGTTGAAATTAGGATTTTTTAAATGTTACAGTATCAGATTATGGCTCTTTTGCAGCAGATTTCTTTATTACGAGGCTTTATAAGGCAGCTAATTTACCCGCAGATAGCTGATATGGGATGATTTGCAGGAGCAAAAAAAAAAGGGAAAGGAAGAGAGTAGGGAAATGTCGGCAGTAAGGCTCACAGGAATGTTGTGGTCTTTGCGTCCTTTGTGTGAGGAGGCAACATGGGCCAGGTACTGGATGACCTTCTTTGTGTTTTCCGTCTTGCCCGCTCCTGACTCACCTCTAAAAAGAAGAGTTTAGAAACAGAAACACATAGCGGCCAGTGAAGTATGAATGAAAGAAGAAAGCGGTTCTGCCAAATACCGTTGATATGGGGATGTGTGTAAAGTGTCCAAAGACTTGCAAGTTACAAACAGGAACATTGGAAAACCATGAAAAACATCCCCTAAAATTACTACTATTGTGGTGATGAGTGCCTGGACGAACACCAAAGTCATCAGGATTTTTATATATTTTATATATGCCTTGTTTGTGAGTGTTTGAGTGGAGAATGTTGTGGTCTGCTGAGTCCGTCTCCAACTTTCCAGGCTCTGCTTTTGGGTCGTCTCTAATGATAGCTGTGTACAGGCAGGGCCTTCCACAGTTTCCCACAGTCAGGTCTCGGAGCCAAGAGCAAAAACCCGGCCAGCAGCACTACATCCAGCTACATGCCAGTGGTTTTAGTGTAGCTGCTCATTAGTTCTACTGCACATAGTACACTGAGGTTTTTAGATGCTTCACTAGAATCCGAGGGGCGAGTCCTCGAAGGCAGAATGTAGGTCAAATTAAGCATCATTCTGTATTTGGTTTTAGGTTTTAAAGTTTCACAGCGAATCTGGAGTATGACTCCAGGAAATAATTCACAGATTATTGTAAATATTTCTGAAACTCTGCCTTCAGGACGTCGTGACAACATGACTCTTCTATCAACCCTCTAACAATGTCTTTACCAGTGTTGCATTGAGAAGCAGGTGCTATAATGAGCTCAGCAGATGCTCCACCAGGTGTTTGCTAATTGCTGCTGGCTAGTCTGAAGGAGCTGAGTGGGTGAATCGCTATAGGAGGGCTGCTCTGTGAGGCAGAAGCTTGGAAACTGCAGCTCCAAAGAGGCGTTTTCCACAGCTGAAAGGTTGCCATGGAGATTCAAGGATTTCTCAAACATGTATGAAATACCTGGCAACGCTCCAGGTCTGTATTTGATGAGGGAATAGACTTAGACTAATTTTATTGTCACTGCACAAAGACACAACAGTGAGATTGGCAACGAAATGCCGTTATGGCATTACGTTATAACTTTATATCATCTTATAGTATTATAACATAATTCAACAAAGTGAATTTTACATGACACTGCCTCTTTAAAATCCTAAGAAACTACAAGTTAACATCAGTAAAACATTTATGAACAAGGATAAAATACTAAAATTACAGAAAACCCATCAGACTATAATATACTCCCACAACATTCTTTTATACTGAAATTAATGGTTGATGCATAGAAACCTTTTAAATGGACAGATTGTTAGGGAGAATCCTGGTGCAGATAACTGAGACATTTTGGCAGTAAAAACTCTTTTGGTAAATAACAAAAAGCTGCAACAACATGACTGGCTTCATGCTGATTATTTTCAAACTTTTAGGGGATCCGCAGACATTTGATCAGGCGGTTTGGGGCTCCATGAATCACTTCATTGAGTTACTCTAGATGCTGTAGTTCCTGTAGGTTTCTCCAGACTCATCCACATTGCAGTCACTGAACGATTGTAGAGAAACTGATTTATTACCACCAACAAGGGAAGCTATTTTCAGCGTGGGTTTTGATGTCACTGGCAACACATGCCAAGCTGAAAGAAAGTGCCACTTAATGACGCTCTGACGTAGAGGTTGAGGGCGGGCCACCAAACCACACTCATAACTCCCTCAGTATTTGGCAGAACCGCTGAACAGACCCGCATCCGCAAAACCAACTATTTGTAACTCATCTTTAAATAAAACCCAGCAGGACGATGGGCATAGAGGGAGATGGAAAAGGGCTTTAATGAGAGAAAACAGAACCACATTAAAAAGAAGAAAGACATCCTGAAGTTCAGTTTTTTTTTTTAAGCCACTCTTTTTATGACGTTTTAAGTTATAAATACAGGCAGTGCAAGGACATGAACCGAGGTCAGAAGGTAAGAATATTAGGTGATAAATAATCTCTATCTGTTGAAGGTTCATTTACCAGCCCACTGAGCAGCTCCAGAACTAGAACCAAGTAGGAAACATTAACCAGCTGTCCTCAGACACGACCTTGGGAATAAAGCAGAGAAAAGACGAGGGCTGTACTCACGTGCAAAGAATCGATTGGTCCTCTCGATCTGTGAAGGAAAAGGAAAACTGTCAGTATTTCTGGTTCAACCACAACAACAAACATGTTCTACTGATCCAGCTGTGGATCCATAATTCATGATGACAGATAATACTGCAACTATTACCATACCTGGGTTTACTTGTTCTACAGCTACAACTAGCAATTATTTTAGTTATCGATACTCTATCGATTAGTCTGATAATTGGCACAATCTGCAGATTTTTATGTAACCACTTTCTCATATTTTATAGAATATGAGAAATGCATTAAAATATGCAAATAAACTAATATTAATTTAAGTAAATTAACATTTTATTATCTAAAATCCAGTTTCATAGTATTACTTTAGTGAATGCTTGATCATTTGTAGCAAAGTCATAGGGCTGTTCTGTTGATTATATTTTAAATTAACTTTATATCAGATAGAAAAAGGTGCTTGGTGGTAGATCTATTTATTTTTATTTTTATTTACAGAATTTGATCAGGTGAAGCTAAAATTGCCACTTGAGTAGTTTTGGGTAAAACATATACAGTCAAAGATGGCTTGTTTTTTTTCCTCTCTTAAATGCAAAATGTTTATATTTTTTCATACAATTTTGGCTTAATTATACTATATATTATATTTTCTTTCAGCAAATAGCCTGTTTTTTTTAGTCTCTTTACTCCAGCTCCATTAATAAATTATGAATAGATGACATCCTAACTTGATGCTTCAAAGTTGGGCTTACTGAGTGTTGACAGTGTGTTTTACAGCCGCCGCTCAGCCTGGCACAGAAACTCTAAAGGTCAAAGCCGTGCTGCGTGCTGACCCGACGCTGACTGCCAGAGCAGTAACCAAAGCTCAGACAGCTTTCATCTCCGCAGACTTCCCTCCAGGTCCAACTGACAGGTTTAGTGTTGCCCCCTGAAACGGGTAAACTCTCAACTCTAAAACACCTCCTGTGCACCACAGTAAACTTTAAAGACAACATTCAACAAGAAGACAACGTGTTTGATACGTTCAACGTACCGACCGCCGTTTCTCATTTCACTAATGAGCGCGCAGGATGATTACAGTGGGGAAAACATTTCTTTTACATTGTTTTGGTTACTTTGTCCTAAGTTTTGTTTATAGGCATATTGGCAATTAAAAGAGCCAACAGTAGAATATTTTATTTCATCAGGTAATTTTAATTTGTATCAACAAGCACATTAAATAAACCTTGAACTACTTATCTAAATACAAGATAATGTCTCAATAAATTTCAGGTACTGTCCTGGAGATCCCGATCCATGCATTTTCAAATAATTATAATCTGAGTCCCCAAAGAGTCTGAGTACTAAAAATCTCAAACTGCATTGCTTGAAATACAGCAATAGAGGCTTTGGACAATATCCTGGTAATCTAGCAAATCTAGTTTTCTACACCAATATGTGTTTTTCACCTTTTTACAATGACAAACGTATCGAATGGAAGAGGAGTGTAATGCCTACAGCTCCCTGTCTGTGTCATTTGACCTTTCCTGTCTGCTGCGCTCAGATGTCCCAGCCGTCACAGAAAGCAGCTGAAATGCCATCATTGAACTTTATGGCATTTAAAGCAAAGAAAAAATGTTATGAAGCAGGAAAACAGTGTCTTTCCAAGTTCAGTCCACATAAGGTTATGTGGACTAAAGTCTTGGTGGACATTCACTGAAACATGACCCAGAACAGCTTGGCTTTGTAATACACAGATCAAAACGGACAAACATGCTAACATTAGCCTAGCATTTCTCAAACAGCAACACTGGATCACCGTATTGAGACAACAGTTAGGATACAATATTGCATAATGTAATAAATCTCTGGCTTATTGACTCTGGTACCGTGTGAAAAATTCTGATAGAAATAATTTTTTTAAAAACATCTCGTGTTCAAATGATGTTATGTGCTAGCAACTGAAGGCAGATGCTAACACATACATGTTCATGGTAAAAGACATTGCAGACAGGCTTTGTGTTGAGCTGTAAACGTCCCATCGAATGAACGTGTCCTTGAAAGCCTCATGATCTGAGCGGGTTACCAGAACTGACAGATCCACAGACATTTCCTCACACCTTCCTGGTGGCTCAGACAGCTTTAAGGTGTTATCTTTCACCAGAAATATGACCTTTTACTCAAACACTGAAGTGTAAACCCCCGGGTAAGCGGCTAAGGTTTGTAACTAAGGTGGCACAACTTTCGAAAATCTTGTGATTGTTGTTATAACTTTGGTAAATACTGCGATGACAAGATCAGTTGTGATATCGGTCGTATGTCTGAGACCCTGTCCAACTGATTAAATATTACATTACCGTGTAAAATTAAAGTTTTTAACATTTGGGATATATTAGTCAACAATTTCTGCACCCAAAACAGGCTGTTGTGATATGATTATCACACACACTGATGATGATATGCCCAGACTACCTTTTAACAAGTAAATCTGCCTAACTGTGTACATCAGATTATTATCCAATAAAAACGTTTCCATTTCCAATGAAGGTCTGTTTGTACAGTGAACGTAAACCAGTCAGGTTGACACATCTGCAAAAATACTAAGAATAAAACTTGCAAGCTTGTCTTCTGAATGATGAATGAGCTGCTTATTTTAAAATGTGCTGCGTCCCTTGATAACAAAGCTTTATTACTTTTCCTGTTCTTATTTTGTAGGCAGCTCTCCACAGGCCTGATGGTGATCAAATGTTTGGGAGACTGTGAAATCCACAATATGCTAATCAAAGTCACATCATCAGCTAAGAATTACATGATTGAGCAGAAGAGGAATTTAATCACTAACCTCATCCTCTGACACTCACATATGTTTATAATCTTTTAAAAAAAAAACAAATTCCTCTGTGACTAATTTAACAGATTTGACCTTCGGTGCTAAAAAAAAAAAAAAATCAAAAATGTTCCGTTAATGGAAGAAAGTCCCCACATACTCTTGTGAGGTTTAATAAAATAGTTTTATGAAAACAATCCTTCTGATTTTGTAGAAAACAGAGCTGAACCGTAAGTGGCTGTAAGAGTAATAACAGCTCTACTAAATTATTCTCATTTATACTTTTAGGAAGCTAACTTAAAGTAAAATAAAAATATTCTTTGAATGTAACTTATCAGATGGAAATGATCCATGGAAACACTTGGTTCTGTTTGATGTGTGTATCTAATATGTGCTGGTTCTTTGTACTTGGATCATGTTCAGTCACATCGCAAAGTAATTTGTTTTGCCATGTTACAAAGATTCAGGTACTTAATCGATGCAGCGTTTGTTATTTGACTAATCATGAGAGATGAACAAAAAATAGTGTAGAAAGTGTGCGTTGTTTTGGAAAAATGTTTATAGAAAATCTAAAAAGTGCGGTGTATTTATAGTGAAATTATAAAACCACTGCAAATCTATTTATGTACGTCTACCAGCTTTCGGCATCTATTGGGTGGAAGTTTTGCCTATTTTGATTTAGCTGAAGTTCAGTCGGATGGACCAACACCTCCACCTTTAGATCAGGTCACAGAGTCATAAATATTAAAATTCATACTGGCCAACTCTGGCTACCCCTATGAACATTTTACAGAGGCACTACAGCATAATTTCAAATTATTTGCGTAAAAATGAGTCTTTTTGTTGATTTTTTTTTATAGATCATGTCTAAAATATTCAAAAGAAATGCAGCTTTTGAAGCTGAAATATCTAACATTGGATTGGATTGACGTTTGCAAACCAGCCAATCCAGAAGCAGCGTTCATGCTCCTTGATGCTGATTGGGTGGACCGCAAGAGCAGAGACAAGGAAGACCATCCGAAGATGCTTTCCACTGTGCGTATATTAATGCATGTCGATGTATATCAGGGGTTTGAACTATTAAAACAGGAAGTTATAAGCTTTTTGGGGTCTAAAAGTTCAGCTTTGATTTCATCTGGTCAACCTCCTTCCACCTGTTTGTTGTCTCTCTTACAAACTGCAAACATCTTATACTTTTCTTTTTTTGCCAATCTTCCATAAAGGTCTGAATCTCAAAAACAATATACCACATCTAGTTCAGAACTACTCTCTACTTTGTGTTGGTCTGTCGTATAACATAGTAAACATGCAGAAAAAGCTCAAATAATGTTGCAGGCCGCTGTGGAGAAGCCCCTGGATCCAGTTTACCCAGAATGCCTTGCTAGCAAGGCTGGAGTGAACCAATAAAACAGAACACGTTCCTCCCTTCCAGTAGCTTATTACCGCCTCAGTAAATCTTCTCTCCTTTTGTGTTTCACCTTTCCCTCAGTTGCCCTCATTTCCTTTTTTTTTTTTTTTTTTTTTTTTCCCCCTGAATGGGGGGAGGGGGGATTTCCCCTAAAACTACCACCCTGACTAAAGAGATTAGAAACATGCCGTTTCTCTGCAACAGATGGTTTTCATTTGAGCACCATTATTGGTTTTAGCTTCTTTTATAATTTCCTCTACAACTCGCAGCCAATTATTCAGGCAGACTGATGAACTTTGAAAACAAAGTCCCTGATACGAAACTGCGGCATATATCAGGGCCTAACGTTAGCAGGAAGTTACAAAAACAATGTTTTTTTTGTTTTGTTTTGTTTTGAGATTATGCAGCATTTCCAGATGTAGAGAGCACAGGTGGCCGTAAATGTCAAAGCGCAGGCTAATACAATAATGTAGGTACTTCTTGAATTTCATTGGACGCCATGTCAAGCTTTGTGACTTGTTGACAGATGTACAGTCATGGAACATAAATCTGTTCTTTATTATATTTTTTGCCATTTAGAGTTCCCTTTTCTGCTAAATAATCTATTCCAAGTCATGAATTTCCTTCTTGCAGCCACTCACCACTAAACTGGAAGGAAATTCTAAGAAAGAAAAACAAACTAAAATATTTGGTTGTAAGTAGAGTTAATTACACATGATTTGTTTTAAATGTGCTAATGTCTTTAATTTGTTGCTAAACACTGTGACTTCAGATGGGCAGATCGTGAAATTGCCTTCGGCAGCCGCGGATCGTGGAT